CTGGACGCTTGGAAACACTGCATGTGACATTGTTCGAGAATTTGAGGCTTGAATCGTATCGTCAAGTGCACGGAGATAGGAAGGGAGGCAGGAAGCGGAATGCTCCGAAGTTTGTTTTTGTGAGACAATAACGGTTCCGTGTATACAAGGAGGGGAGAGTGTTCGCTGATTTTACAGGTACAGTGGTATCCGTGCTCTGTTTCGTATGCATAGCACTAGAGTACACAATCTGAGTGCGGACGATTGGCAGAAAGCAACGTAGGCATTTGCGTACATCAGAGTAGTGGACACGAGTAGCTACACTAGCATAAACAACAAGGTCATCCATTAATTTGGGAGTTATTGTATGTCGTTAGTCTCTAGAGAACACTGCTGGACGTTCCATAGTATCAGTAGAGAAGTTATGCACAATTGATCCGGGATGGATTCAGAAGCAATAGATTCTTGTAATATCATACTTGGCCTCCCACTAAGTTCTACTGGGTTGAGTTTTGGGAGGACAGAACCCAATTCTTTACCTATAGTCAACATGGTGTACTTTACCATAACCAAAGACACTGCCAAATTAAAAAAAAAATTGGTACTGCATATTCAGCATGCTGGGGAACTTGGTTCTTGTATATTCTCCCGTCAAGCTGGAGTGGAATTGGGTTGATCAGAATGTGGGAAATTGAGCAGATAGGATGACAAAGTAAATGTTTCTAATATCATGTAAAGTCAAACTGCCAAAATCTTAGGTGACTCCTATACCATGTGGAAGGCGGAAGCTTACTGCTCATCATTTAAAAGTTCCCAGGAAACAGTGGGAAAATTGGGATATCCAGGATCAGGAGATGAGGTTTGGCTGAAAATAGGTTTTATATGTGATCAAATCTGAATGATATATAGGTGTGAGAGGAAGAGACAACATGAGTGAAAGCCGGTGAACTTTTATGTACTACACTGTGCTCCGCTCACGACCGGCTGGGCTCACATATTCTGATACGAGTTTCCATACATACTGGTATCCGTTTTCCTGTACTCTACTATATCTGCACTACTAACACTACAATGCTCTACTACAGGGATTCCGATGCCATCGCTGGTAGCATAGCCTGAACTTGGTGATAATACCATTTTAGAGAGCCTTGCTATGGGTCCACCGTGTACTGTCTCTGAACACTGACAGCACCCCACACCGAACAGGGCCCCTGACTGTTTGGATGAGCTTACAATCTTCGGGAAATGAGACAAGGGCAATAGACATAGATTGTTGTCATTAGGGAAAGAAATTTATTCCGCTAGGTGTCAAACAGGGGATTACAAGTGTTAGACTGGAGTGATCGCCAGCTGCACTACGAAACCACATTGCCAATAGTTTTCAGACCATTAATCCTTAGGCAAGGTTATCTCTATTATAATGTCATTATAGTAACACTAGACCCTAAAGTGAATCAAGCTACAAATTTTTTTTCTTTCTATAGAACTTTAGAGTAAAGGTCTACTTATACTCTTTTAAAAGTCTAAATTATATAAAAGAGGGATGGTTGAAATATCCAGATTCTAGTTTTAAAATTCCCAGTTTTAAAAAGTGTTTTATAAATATTGGCATATCCTATAACTAGGTAAAATACATTAGTCAGAAAATGAAAATTGGTTGAAAAGACTTTTATAGTACTATGAGGTCTAGGTTTGTCTGTATTCCTAGCAAGGTAAAGAGATGGTCTCTATCTTATATATTAAAAATATCATGTACCTATACCTTAATCCATTTTAGTATAGTTGCTGTGAGAAATATGGATAGGTGACAATGGTAAAAGATAGCATACCTAGCCATAAGAGTTATATTATATAATATAGAAATTAAAATAAGGTAGTAATTATAAAGTATTTAGTATAATTTCTAGATATCAACTTGACTGAGATACTATAGCTTCAAGTTGATATTGAGAATTAATTAATTGGAGAAACTTGGAATAGAATTAGAAATATTTAGACTTCAAAAGTAGTACTAAATACAGTTTGAAACAGAATTTCAAATGAAAGACTTAAAAGGCTAAAAAGATCAATGTTACTATGGCTTCAGGTTTAAGCCATAATTAATGCTATTAGGAGGCTTCCAAGATATTAATTTGTAGAATTTAGTTTTTATATAGATTTTGTTGTTATACACACTCACAGGATATTACTCATAGAACTTCCAAATTTGACAGTGGATCTGACTTTTGGCCAACACCAAAAAATCTTCTTACCAGCTATCACTTGAATTTCCTAGCCAAGTTTAGTCCACATACAAGTTGCCACCTCTGGATTTAGAAGTAGACCTGACATTCGTCAACCCCCTAGTACATCCCGTGAGCTGATACAGTCCATGTCAGGAAGACGCTAATCCCTTCCAGGAGCCTCGTCTTAGAATCGGGAGATTATAGAGCTGGCGGAGATGGTGGATTACAAGGGAGTTTACAAGTATGGTATTATAACCGACCATAGTGATTTGACGGGCATGATAATTAGTGTATTGTGCCTTAACGCTCTATGCTGGAACCTCCCCCCCAAAATAATAATAATGGTAATAGCAATATTAATACAATAATCTGTACTGTACAGTACTAGTACCGCAACGGCGGCGGATTCGGCGTAAGTGTTTGACCCCTTCCATAATAATAAATTCGGTACTTGAGCGAGTTGGTCTGCGGGATTATTACTATCTTTCCTTCCTCACCACTCTGAAGAGCGGATTGTGGGGGTGGGGGGTTTTGGATCGTGCAGTTGTTGGCGTTTCGGGGTATGATAGGTATCTAGATCTTGCCATCTATCTCTCCCTTTCGATTGGCATTTGCTCCCGGGTGCTAAGGAGAAAAAGGAGCGCACGGGGGGGAGGGGGTCTTTGGATGTGACTGTACGAACTGGTAGGGTGTAGATCACCGTATCCGGATAGCAAGCACAGCACTACATACTCTACCTGTAGTCACACGCACACACACAGTCCCGATGAGCGCTCATCCGATAATAAATCTCAATGCGGGAAGTTGATACTGGAGGGAGGGACTAACTTTCCGCTCCGCCGAGCGGGGATTTCCAAATACGGGAAGGAACTTTTTTTAAAAAAATAAATAAATAAACCGGCGCTTCGTGTTCCAGACCCGGGATATGGGTACCCCATCTCCGGCGGCTCTACGACGCGATGCATTTTAGCGCCTCACTGCTGGAGCGAGGGAGTGTGCCGTGCAGTCTCGCACCCGAGTTGAACGGTGGGAATGGAAAAATTGGAGTTCTTCCCCCTCTGGTTGTATTGGTCAATTGATGGGGTTTACAAGTGATTTTTCCTGGGGTGTCCTGTGTTGGCGTCTGGCTGGTGGCAAGAGATCCTCGATGTGATTTGTTTACTTGTGGTGGATGTGGAAAGGTCTCTCTTTTTTAACCTGTGGGGTCCTGGTGCCATGGTTGATTTGTAATTCACAGTGCTCTACACGCCCAAGCGTTGCGCATCGTTGGGAGGGATGGAGGTTCCATGGTCGGTGGCTGGAGGTATTACGAACCTAGTTGGCTTAGAGTATGGACTTGAGGAGTCAAGATATTCAAAGGTTGTGTTTGGTCCCGTGTATGGAAGGAAGTTGGTGTGAGTAGTCATGTAGAGTCACTCGAAATGCTAACTTTTGCTCTCTTTGCAGACTATGACACCAAGAAGCACCTGTCAGAGAGCATCGTGTGCTAGCTCTATCGAGTGTTGTTCTAGACGACGGGTGAGAGCAACAGCCCAGTTTCAGTAGCTTCGAGCGTGCTTCCGGCCCGAAGGATCAATAGTACGCGGGAGGTAAGTGGGATACGCAGGAGTCTAGGACCTCGTGCAGTCGCTCTGATATTCACTTTGAGATGTCGTTGGGTGCGTGGGCGGAGCTCCGTGCCTGGGGTGTCCTTATGACTGGTCAGCTAGGTATCACTTTTGCCCACGGAATGACATTTCAAGTGGGTCTATCCCGAATCTTCAATAATTGTTCCCGATCTCTCTTGTGTTTGGGAAGCACTTTTCCTCTTCCTTCTCTCTAGACAGAGCCCATAGGGTAACTCGAATTGCCTGACGTTAACGTTCCCAAAATGCCCAAGAAGGGACAAATTCAGGCTTCGTGGGCGGAGGAACACAGCCCAGAGGATCCATCACGTCCAACCCCAAAAAGTTTTTTCTTTTCTTTTTTTGGGTGCTCCGGAATAACAACCAAGGCAATTCCCCTCCTTTCCCTTCTCTCATTGAAACAGAATGACAAACACAATGCTTAAACAACTGATACTCGTGGGCCGTGGCTACCCCGCGGCTGAATGGTTCTCAAATCCCACCTGAGCACGCCCCAATCACTCCCGAAGTTTAATAAACACGTCGGAGGGATGCAGCTTCGGTCTTTACTTTTAAGTTTCCCGGAGAATCCCCACCCCCACCACCCGATTTAGTCGCGGATGAGCTCAGATTCGCCATCTACGGTATTAATTTGGGGAATCCCATACGTGCATTGCGCTGGCGCTCCTGTCTGCGGACTGAGCCGTGTTTGCCGTTTCTGGGGCGGGCTTTTTGTGGGTGGTGGATGCCCCGGATTTCCCCCAGGTCCTTCGCGAGGCCCTGATGGATTTCGGATGGATGAGGTGACTGGCACCTATGCACCGATATTGATAAATGTCCTCTTCCGCTCGGACTAGGCTTCCCGCCAAATAGAGCAGTTTTATAGTGTTCTACCATATTAGGATACAAGAAGCCAGGGTTCGGTGGGTTTTGGGGGCCACGGGACTTGGCATGTTTGTTAGCGGTTCTCGTGGCGTTTAACGGGATGGCGGGTTGTCTGGGTCGAAATTATTCCTTGCTGATGCCTGGGCAAGGGCCCGGGGATAGGGTTGGTGCAGGCCCCTCTTAATACCATATCATGTGATATGCCCGAGTATTTGACTCCCCTCATTAATCTTCCAGATAGGAAAACAAGTATATTACTGAACCAAACCAATATCTAGCGAGTATTAATCTCATCTCCTCACACAGTCTAGAAGAATAAATCATCTAGCAAAGGCACCGAAAACCTGTCCTTCAAATCCTGCAATCCCCAACCCTGTGCCTGACCTATCTGTGCCAATGCATCCTTAAACGCTGGTATTTCATCCTTGTATGAGGTCTCCCTAAGATACTGCTTCCAGGGAGTGCCGCGGACCTTCATTCCATCCCTGTTCCCACCGTTAGCCTTTCCCGTTTCCGCATCGTCAAACGAAGCGAAAAAAAGGAGATAACAGCATACCATTCCTTCGCCCAATGTGGCCTAGTGTTCAAATACCCCCCATCAGGCCCGGTATAATTCATCCACCTGGTTGCAATTTCCTGCACGAACGGTTCCCAAACCCCTTCCGCCGCAGCCGCCATTGATGTCAAAACTTCAATACTTACCGTTCCAAATTTATTATTGGTCTGCGCTGCCATAATGACGTCGCTGTCTCCCATAATGCGCATTTCTAGTGCCACACGCATGGGCGCCTTGGGGTCGGCGTAGACAGCGTCAATAGCGTCCCACCAGGCACGCTGGGCGACGGTCCAGTCCGGCTTCGTAGGGTCTGATGCCAGGGGCGGAATCGGAATCTGCAATTCCATATCTCGGACGCGCATGTTGTGTATGCCGCGGCGGAAATGGAGAGCGTTGACTAGATGGGTTTTTATCTGCGAGTTTAGGGGTCCGTTGGGCGGTAAGGAGAGCATTGCGAGTGATGCTTTGTAATAATCGCTCGTGTTATTGTCGTATCATACATGGTTGAGGGGAAGGGGCATACAAAAGATAACCGCTTGCCAGCGGCCGGGGAATGCTCTAAATAAAGGATCGTCGTTTATCACACCACCTAACCACCCTTCCAGCCATTGCAGGAATAAATCTGGGTATGTTGGGTAGTCTATCAACCCGCTTGGTTCCTCGGTATTATTCCAACAATTGACAAAAGCTTTGGACTGGTATGGGAACCAGAACCATTCTGAATAATAGTTGGTTTCGGCTTTCTGGATAAAGTCTTGCCGTGCAGCTTCTAGTTCCGCAGGTGTGTAGGCCTCGCGGATTGCAGCAGGGACTTTGAAGTCCTTGGGTGGAGGGATGGCGAGACCGATTTCCTGTTTTAGGGGCCGAAGGTTGGCGTAGCTCATGGCGTCCAGTTCGATAGTGATGTGGGTAACAATGCCTGTGGGCTGTTAATAGTGGGAAGTATGGGCGGGAGGGATCATTGTGTGCACCAAGAAGGCCGAATGAACCAGCTGCAGCCTTGAGTTGGACTGGATTGGTGACACTCTGGTGTTCGCCGTTGGCATCAACATATTCGATTCTGCGGACCAAATCACTGATGGTCTTATGCCTGATGCCTCCGCCATGACACATGGGAGCATTTGAGCCACCGTAGGTGATTCTAGCCATGTCAGCGCTGTTTGCGAAAAACTGCTGGTTAGTGGGTGAAAGACATACTCGACTACGACAACATTCAAGGGCGTAGTCCAAGCGTTATTCGCAATAGCCCATCTCCTGAAATCTTCATTGGTGACCGCAGCGCCGATCCTCGCTAGCCTCTTCTTCTCACTAGTGCCCGGGACGTCCTGAGCCTCGAGCTCGATACGCTTGAACTCGCTCCCCGTGTAATCCTTGCTCGGCAGGATGGAGGAACAATCTGGAATTGTTGTTGCGGTCCTCAAGTCTAACATGGAGAGAAGGATCTCGCCGTCCTGGGAATACATATTTGTCCAGGTGTGTCTGTAACCTGCAGCACGAACACGCTTGCTGCTGACCTTGGCCCATTTGATAAGGTTCTTGACTCCCTCAATAGTAGTAGGGACAAATGTATAAGAGGGTGTATGTTGGACGGTCAGACCCCAGTTTTCAAATTCTGCAGCAGTATACACCTACCAATTCTCGATCAACTCATTCTGCTCAGTAGTTAAAGAAGGGGGCATTTACGGTCATAGGCTTACTATTCGCGTTGTCCTCATAGATAACCGGGCTCGTCTCCCGCTTACTATTCAGCCACCTTCTTGAACTAGGGGTAATCCCAGACTCCTGCATCCTCTTAAAATGTTCCTTCGCTGCGGGGCTAAGAGGAACGGAGAACCCACATTTCTTAACGATTCTCTCCGCTGAGTCCCCATTCATGAACGCTGTAACCTTATCCTGTAGATCATTGTCCAGCGAGGCAAACGCCTCCGCGAATTTCGGGTGTGCCTGAATAGACTTCAGGAGCCCCCGACTGTAGCCCGCCCGGTCAGCCTTCCCGTCCCTGACTAGCTGCAGCACTTGTCGAAGGCCTGGGAACAATGAATTGGCCTCAATGTGCGTGAGGAGATACGTAATTATCTCGTCCAATATCCTCCCGCTGCGAAAGTCACTCAGAATTGGAGCTATATCCTTGATGATGGGGATGTCTAATAACTGGTGGAGGCTGAGATTCGGATCGCTCCGAGAGGGGGGAAGAGCAGATATGAGTGGTGCTAGAGGTAGCACACGGAGAAGGACTGGAAGTAGGCGCATCCTCAATGCTTACCCTCTGGCAGATATCGTCGGCTGAGCAGAGGCATTCGGAACCTGCGACCCTACGGGGGGCTTATATGTTCTCTTCTCCTTTTCTCTTGTATGGTACAGTGCCCTCCGGAAAAGGGCTCGTCCCCAGAGGACTATCGCGTGTAGGGAAGAGTTTATCTGTGCGCGGCGCTAGTGCCAAAGACAGGGGAAGAGCCAGCACAACCACGGTACCGTGGTTGTGCTCAGTGCTCCCAGTGGTCCAGTCCGTCCAAGACCGGGTGAGGACGCAAGGGACTGAAATGTCTCATCTTTGGACGGATTGGACCGTCCTAGACGGGGTGGACGGCCGTCGGACCGCACCCGGGCCACCCCCTATAGTCAGTGCTTCCAGTCGTCCAGTCCGTCCAAGACGGGGTGAGGACGACGAAGGACGAGACTGCCTCGTCTTTGGACGGGACGGACTGCCTTGGCGCCGTCCTGGACGGACGGCCGTCGACGCCAGTCCGACTGGACGACTGGAAGCACTGCCTATAGTATAATCTGCTACTACGTTCGGCCTCGTTATTATGGTCATCCTCATGTCGCTGAGGTGGCTGAATGGTAAGAACTACTGTACCGTGGTTCCTCGGATACCGGTACGATACCAGAGAAATGAACACTGATACGGTAGGGAGTTGCAATTGCCTCCGGTGGGAAGGAGCTGTCTACCGGTATTGTTTTCTTTTCTTTCCTTTGGTCTCAACCAACTGCCGAGCTTTGCAGTGATCACCTCCCCTGTCTCGGAGAGGGCATCTCAACAACTGAGCACATTTCTATTGTACCGTTATTTCGAATGCTTACTCGGGTATGGACGTGGGTGACCGGACAGCCAGGGATTCTAGAGGCCTGACCGTTCTTGCCCTCATAGGAAATAAAGAATGAGTCTGGCATGAGAACTGCTCGAACAAGCAAGAAGCTTTGACACCTCTAATCCCTGGCTGTCCGGTCACCCACATCCATACCCAAGTACTCGTACTTGTACAGTGTTAGACCCCAGTCGGGTCTTGGAAATCCCGGTATAAGTCGTGAAATCACTGCAGGGACTTAAAGTTGTAGAGACGTGGGTACTCGTAAGATTGGTTATTAAGTTAGGTTCGGGGTAGCATCTAGCATCCTCAAAGTCCGTCGGCTGTTTTGGGGGCTCTCTCTCCTTTTTTTTTACTTTTTCGGCGAGTATTGAATGGCGCAACAGTGGAGTACTACAAGTATAAATTTACAAGTATGAGTGCCGTACACATCTTCGTTCCTCCCTGCATGCATCCGTTCCTCCCCACGACAATGGGGAAACACACGCCTGGAGAACATTCTCCGTAGATCACGACAAACTCCCGAACAATTCACAACACTCCCGGGGGTTTCACAACTATCCCGAACACAACGAGTCGCCTCCTGCCACTCAGATGTTTTCCTCCCTCATGGGTTATGAGTGAGTATGGATCGAGTCACAAAGAGCTAGCCCCTGCGGAGGAGGTTGACGTTGGGATTTTGGGGCTCTATTCCCCGGCTATCCCCCGGTTGGTCTTAGCCTTTCGAGAAGTGTTTACTCGAGTACCGGTACTTGTAGAGGGCGGAGTGAAGGATCCTCCGGGCCTTAGACATTCCCCCACAAATTAAGCATACCGGTGCCTCATGCTATTTATTGGTGCGGAATCCCTTTCAGTCTCCCTAAGTGGGGCTGGGATATAGAAATTTCATCTTATCCAAATGATTGGAAACCCTTAGTGAACATCCTATGTATCACTCTGCCCTCCCAGAGCGTCTCGCTGACAGTTAACATTCAATATCCTGGCCCCGGAACTCACCAGAGAATTCCCCACCATACCACCATTATTGCCCAACTAATCTTCCGATGCTGCGTCGATAATACCTGACTCCCGACCCGGCCAGAGGTCGAAATTCTCAACACCTGAAGGGGGTAGTTGGCAGGCAAAAAAGTGAGTTCGTCAATATATCATAAGGTATGATATTCGAGTGGGGGGATTCAAAAGAAAAAAGGATTCAAGGGTGCACGACTAGGTAGGAGTACACTGCTTGAGGGACAGTACGGCAGACGGTACCGTACTTGAGAATCTCCCCCGCCTGTAATCTAATTCTGAGACAAAAGCTCCAGAGAAGGATTGGGAAGAATCAGCATTTTCCAGACTTGGCGTACCAAATTTATACTCGAGTACACTCACTCAGGCGTCGGATCTCGTTAACCGATATTGGCAATTCTCAACGTAGCAAACTCAGCCTATCACATTATGGCCTGGAGGACTAATTTCGGCTGAAAATCTGATAGTGGGTTATCGTACTGTACCGGTACTCGAGTACTCGAGTACAAGTGTTTTCGCGCTGTGACGGAGGCTCCATAATTGCAACAAAAACAAATCTTAAGAGGGCTTATGAGTACTCGTACTCGTAGTGTTATGACCATTGGTCAGTAGGCAGGTCAGCGGTGAATTAACTCGCCTACGTAATCGACGCGCTAACTCGCCCTCCCCTCTATCTCCGGTTGGAAGGAACATCCCCGCAAAACATCGAGGGCGGTTTTCAGAACATGGGCGACAACACCGACAACAAATTAATCATCGCACGCGACGAGCCTATGGGGCATCTCACGCCGGCGGACGGACGCAAAGAAGGATTACAGGTGCTGGAGTCTCAGGGTCGGAAAGCTCTCGATCCCAACCTCGCAGATAAGGGCTTGAGAACGCCGCTTTTGTGGGCCGCGAGGAATGGCCATGAGGATGCTGTGAAGCTGCTGTTAGGTCGGAGAGATATCAACATCCACCTTTCGGATGTTCTTGGTCAAACACCAATTACCTGGGCCCTGAGGCACCGCTACGAGGAAGTAGCGAAGCTGTTCGTCGACCGAGAAGATTTCGACCCCAGCATTGCGGACAACAGCGGAAAAACAACCCTCTATTGGGCTACCGCGTCGCGTTGCGGGGAGATAGTAAAGTTATTGCTGGCCCGGGACGATGTCCTTCTCAACAGTTGTGAAAACGTGATGGGCTTCACACCAATTTTCCCCCCCGTTTTACACGGATATGAGGAGGTGGTTAGGATGTTGCTGGATCACGGAGGGATTGATGTCCACCATGCAGACGACAGGGGTCGGACACCGCTATCTTGGGCTGCCTCGGGTCGCTGCGTTAGGATTGCGCAGCTTCTCTTGGAGCACGACGACACCAACGCCGACCTAGCAGACAATGACGGTCGAACCCCACTTTCGTGGGCGGCCCACAAGGGACGCGACAAGACCGTAAAGCTTTTACTTGGGCGGGGCCACGTTGGTCCTAACTCGGTGGATCTAATTTGGGGCCAACCACCAATAACTTGGGCCGCTGAACGTTGCCATTCCGGGGTCGTAGAGCTGTTGCTGGAGCGGAAAGATGTTAGCCCCAATCTAGCTGACGCCCATCGTCAAACACCGCTGATCTGCGCCGCTGCTTTCGGGTGTAAGGCAGTAGTAGGGCTATTGTTAGCTCGGAGAGATGTCAATCCTAACATAGCTGACTCAAACGGCGGTACACCGCTCTCGGTTGCCAGCAGCTTGGGATATACAGAGATAGTCGCTGACCTCCTAAGTCGAAGAGATATCGATCTCAACCCCGTAGGTAAAGACGGTCGAACGCCACTTGCAATGGCTGCCTATAATGGCCAGGTTGCAGTTGCCAATCTATTACTAGCCTGTGAAGGCGTTGATCCCAACTTCAGAGATCACTCTGGCCTCACACCGCTCGCTCTCGCGGTAGATAGAGGGTATGAGGGAATAGTAGAGGTTCTGCTGGAACGGTCGGACGTCAACCCTAGCCCCGTGCGGGAGAACGGCGAGACGCTTATCTCTCGGGCTGCCACCAAGGGACACCATACAATAGCGGCATTGGTGAAACGCCGAATCAGCGGAACCAATGAATGATCATACAGCTTGCCGATTGGTCTTATGATACTTTGGGCCCTCGAAGCCAAGATCTCAATAGGCCGCGTCCTCCTTTTAAACTCCCGGATCTTCCACCACAATATAAATCTCCGCTGACCCTCGCCAGATTTTAATTTACACTCCCATGCCCCAACTACGGCCTCAGTGCACTCACTAGGCTGTCATATACCGTACATAACGGATGTTTACACGAAGGTCTCTAGCTACCATCTCGATCCCCCTGTCGTTCTATCTATTAAGGGCCTCTCCTGTTTCCGCTGCCCCCCAGCTTATTTTTCGGGATTTCTGCTTCATACGGTCACTGATACGATTTCTTGTCCTCTTTTCAACCATCTCGTGTTTTTCATAACCAGAACATTGCGACTTTGATCCTGTAGATATTTCAATGCATTAGAGGTCGCGGTGACATCATAAATCGCAAGCCTTCACTCAACTACGGTCAGTGGTGTTCCCTATCGAATCTATATCAGCACTGAGCTCATAATTACACAACCCAGAACCGTAGGGCAGGGTTTGTGCAGAGAGATGCAGCCGTTATTGACATAAATCAATGACAGCCCGGCGGCCCCACCCGGTCGGGGTGCACAGTGTGGTACCCGCGCAGGCAGGGCCCCTTAATCCCCACTTAGACCATACTTCTATCTCTTCATTAGGATGTTCTACAACCATTCCCCTTAGACGCAACCCCAACCAGAGCGGTTTCATCAAAACATGATGCATGGGAATTGGCCAGGTATGACCTGTCAAAAGAAAGGATCGGGTTCGAGAAGCTCGACATTCGACGAGGAGTATTATAGTATCACCCAGATCGGACTGAAAAAAATCCCTCGACATATGATAATAAATATGCGAAAATTGCCCCGGCGAATGGGTATAGGGAATAAAACTTTCTCTGGAAGGAAAATAAAACGTACTCGCAAGAAGCATGATACCACCATTGTGACTGATGGGTGATTCTCAGCCAAATTTCTAACACTGTACCGGTCATTTGAGAGGATCGTGTATGTCCATCACGACAAGTCACTCGCATGCCAATTCCAGCTCTGAGAGGACGAAAAATGTTATGACGATGTCTTCAAGATCGGGTGCAAAGAATTCCCCGCCAGTGCGAGGAGAAATTGTGAGTGAGAATAAGGGAGGGGGGGGGGTGCAAACGGCCAAATGCCCCGTACTATCTCTTGAGAGGGGAGCAGACGCTAGTGACTTGCTTGGGGGACATCATAAGTTATACTAGAAAGCAACTTAGACTGAAACCAAACCCGAGCGTGGAGGAACGCGGCGACCCAAGTATGAAATCTAGCCAAGGGATAACGCTGTGCGCACATACGTGCGTTATACGCCACAGGGAAAATATCTCAGCTCGACTGAGAGGATACCCCCCGACCAAGCAGGCCACTTTCCGGATAGGATGTTCCCCCTAGGAAAGTGCAAATCCGGCCCACCCCAGTGTGCCGTTGAAGCGAGGGCTTTTAAGCATCAGGGGTTGACGGTGAAGTGGCGGAAAGACGGGTGGAAGACGCAAGACTAATAGTAACAAGACGGGTGGAGATGTGGTGAAAAGGTGGATGAGAGCGGGGGTTATGGAAAATCTGCCGGTTAGGTATGCGTCCAGAATATACCATAGAATTAAACGATAATTTAACCCCTTCCATGAATTATGATATTCCATTGCTTTTCCTACTGATTGGGATAAGCTAATTTTTACTCGAGCCGCGGGGTATCCCGCTAAGAAAGTGACCCACTTGGGCAAGGAGATGTTCCTTGGCTCAGTTATAATCTTTTCCCGCAGTATGGGGGAAATGATATATATCTATATATGTTCCTGGGGGCGGACGTGTCAGCAAGTAAGACCAGGTGCATGCGAAGAGCCCGCAAGAAAGGACAAGAACACCCCGGGGGGGGACGCAAATGTCGAACAGATCATACCAATCTTGGTGTCCTGAACCAGGGCTTGATGCACTGCATTGGGCGGCGCTGTATATGGTATCAGAATAAAATTTATCACAATATTATCATACCGACTTGACGGCTAGATCTTGCCCATCCTACAAGTGCTTGGTTAGCTACGATAAAACCAAAGTTCAAGACATCATGTCCCTGGGCAATCCGGTATCAATGAGTATCCATATGATACATGGGCTTTGGTTCGGAAAATTCTCTTGATCCAATAGCACAATCCCCTACAGCGGGGTAGAACATAAGTTAAGCCATACAGCACTACACATCTAGAAAACTATCTGTAGATATAGGAACATGTTTTCCATTTTCTTCAGCAGACCAATATGGACCCGCGGCATTTCGGTACAGAGCCAACACCCAATGTCCCAAAGGGACGAAATAGTAGACGGTTCCCCGAGAGAAGATGCTCAGCTCTGCTCAGATTATCGTTTATGTGTGTCCGGATAGGACAAACGTCAATGTGGTCCCTCCCGGGGGGGTGGGGAGTCGGCGGAGATGCTTAATAGGAGTGGGTTGTAAGAGCTTCCTTCCCAGCGCAGAGATACAGGGTGTAGGGCATGCTAGTTCTAGGAGATCAAATCCCACCCTCCATGGGAATGGAAACCATTCCAGGCCACAGGGGGGGCAACAGCACGCTATTGTGCCGAAAATGTTGGGAGGAGCTAATGATCTGAGCAAAAATTCCACGGGGTCAAGTGAATTGAAGAACAGGGAGTAACTGAGTGGGCTAAGTACGATATATGGACTGGAGAGTTGAAGGTGGTAAGAACGGTATGACAGGTGAGGGGGAAAGCGAGGAATGAAAAGAAAAGAAGAAAACAAAAGTTTTCAACTCTAGGATGCTCTAGCGCGTAATGACCCACATATATTCACGTATACTGAGCGCCCTTAGTGCGCATGTAGTAGTTTACCTAAATTCATTATGCATCTAACGTCTCGAAGCGTATGTGAAAGAGGGTGATGCTCTAGAAAACCACAAGAGAGAAACATGTGAGCCAGGAGCTGCCTGCAACGAAAAATTGTAGTGAATTCCATGAGTTCGGCTGAGCGCCCAAGTTTAATCCCCCATGACCGATCATGCTTTTGACACCTGAGGACAAATGCAAGGAAAGCAAGCGGGCTGGCACATGTGGAGTGATTCCCTCCAACGCGTGGTATGCGATGGGCGAATATCTTGTCCATCCACCTATACCGGTAATTATGCCTATGATTCCTATAAACCAAGTTGTTCCATGCTATAAATTACCCCTAGATAGCCCTTTAGAGAGCAAAAAAAGCGATTTCAGCCAGTTACAACTGCCCCGTGACGCCTCCTACATCATTCCGATCAGGAGCAACTTTTGGAGCTTGCCGCTATCACCAAGCCTCACCGTTTCTTGGCTCAAACGTTAAACGTTATGGAACCACCAAATGAGCAATATTCAATCACTCTTGATGTTGAAACCTTCAATTAGGACCAGACCATTAGGAAACTAAGATGTCTCTCGGAAAATTCAAATACAGGCATCGACGATACTTACGTTTACGCTAAGCGACTTCTATTACAGGAATGAGCACTTTGAAATTATATGAGGCGGACAGGAAATATCATGCTGAAGCACCGAAACCTGGTTGATTCTTAGAGTACTGGTATACAGGACTAGCGAAGATGACCGGGATCTCGCCTAACGGGTGTTCCATCATTGCTTTCCCCATCCTGTCCAAATCTCGGGACTAGTCCATGGACGCCGGTGCCGGTATATGGAGACCCCGTGGTAATCCCAAGGCTGGTGGAAGCGGGAAGGCAAGTGCTTCCTGTTGACGGTCGTTCCCGGAGTGACGATCTTGCTGGTCTAGAAAGGTTATGCCACGACTGCTCATTGGGGATTTTTTTTCCCCCATATGTTTATTGATTCTGGCTCAAAAACGTACATGCAGCCCGCGCTATGGCATACAAAAGGTCTATCAGTGGGGAAGGGATTACCCGTCAGCATATTGAAAACGAGGCAATTTGGCCCTCAGAGGGGACATACCGGTGATCTTATACAGGTTCTGTGATGCCGGAAGAAAACCGGAAGAAAAAATGTGATGCTTATGGCCCTGCATGCTGTACGAGTAGAAGACTGCCGTGCCCTATTGGAGGCCCTTCTGCGGATGTTTTTTTTGGGGGGATTCGACAGGTTAGCCAGAATGCAGGAGTAAACAAGATCGTCCCCCCCCTCTTTTTTGCAGTCGACAAGAGTTTAATTACAGTAATAGCCCAGTATCGGTTCTGTTTTGTAAACGCCAATGAGTTTAGTAAAAGTGGATTTCCGTTACTGGCCAATTGCTAATTCCGGCGCTCAGAGGCAATAGGAATAGATAGTGGACCGGATTGCCTGCCTCCGACACTGGATGCGAGACCACAAAGTCCCCGGTATGGCAGGAGGTCCTTTCCGGGGAATTGGAAACTGGATAAATGCTATCATTCGGAGCCCGCACTCGATGCGTATGGAAGCTCTGGAGCCGATCTTATAAACAGACAGAAGGAAGATTGGCGAGTCTTGTCATTCATATAACCCGGATCTCGGATGTGTTACTCTGCCGTCTCAGATTTTCCATTCAGGTTCGGGAAATTCCCCTCGTCCATCACCATTGGTTGACTCTGGGCCTCACTCTCCCACCACGTTTGACGGAAGGGGCTCAGAAACAACTCAAGAGGGCACCGGTCACACAAGGAAGACGGCCTCACCCATGCTTGGAAGGGAGCCCCGCTTACCTCGGGTAACCGGGACCCCTCTTTCCTTTTTCTGAACCCTTAGCATCCCCCAAGGAAAATTCCCAACAAGGACAGCACATCCATCCCTCTCAACCCTCCCAACAACCAACCCGCTCTCGTTCTTAAAACTCCTCAATCCCAAGCCCGTGAACCTTCCTCCTCTCTTTCTCTGCTCATCACACACTCTCACTAGACCAGATCCAACAGTAATTCTTCTTCCCTCAAGCCCTCAAGCAATCTCGATTCAATCAAACATGTCTGTCCCCGCTGCCAAGTATAAGGTCGCTGATATTGTGAGTGTCATCCGAACTTCGATCCAATCCAATCCACACTACCGGTACCGTCAGAGGGAATGCTGACCCTCCTTTCTTCCAGTCCCTCGCGGCCTTTGGTCGTCGTGAGATTGAGTTGGCCGAAAACGTAAGTTTGCTCTTTTCGTTCTTCCGCTCAGCTCTAGCTCAATCAGCTAACGGTGATTATACAGGAAATGCCGGTTTGTAGCCCTGATTTCCACGGACCAACAAACAATTCGTTAACCGACGCCCCATTAACAGGGTTTGATGCAAACTCGTGCCAAGTATGCGCAGGATCAGCCTTTGGCCGGTGCCCGTAAGTCACGGAATGCAATTTTCAATACGAGCAAGATCAAGGAGGCATTGCTGACACGGAACTGTAGGCATTGCTGGATGCCTCCACATGAGTAATCCGCCCTCCTTACGGCTCGATTGATGTCGTTCACGTGTACTAACCATTCTAACCTCCAGCCATCCAAACTGCCGTGCTTATTGAGTAAGTTTTTCCAACAGTCTAACATTTGTTGGAACTAAGGTTAACCGATTTAGGACACTCACCTCGCTTGGCGCCGAAGTCACCTGGAGCTCCTGCAACATTTTTTCCACTCAGGACCATGCTGCAGCTGCTATTGCCGCAACTGGCGTCCCTGTGTAAGCCATGCCACAGGTATTGACCTCGATTCATAAACTAATTGCCGAAATAGTTTTGCCTGGAAGGGTGAGACCGAAGAGGAATACAATTGGTGCTTGGAGCAACAACTTATCTCATTCAGGAATGGGAAGGGGTTGAACCTCATCCTCGATGACGGTGGTGACCTTACTGCTCTCGTTCACAAGAAATATCCCGAGATGCTCAACAACTGCTATGGTTTGTCTGAGGAAACCACCACCGGTGTCCACCACCTTTACAAGATGTTGAAAGATGGAGCTCTCAGGGTTCCTGCAATCAATGTCAACGACTCTGTTACCAAGTCCAAGTTCGATAATCTTTACGGATGCCGTGAATCCCTTCTCGATGGTATCAAGCGTGCTACCGATGTCATGGTTGCTGGAAAGACTGCTGTTGTTGCTGGCTATGGTGATGTCGGAAAGGGCTGTGCCGACGCTCTCCGCTCATTCGGTGCCCGTGTTATTGTCACCGAGATTGATCCCATCAATGCTCTCCAAGCTGCTGTTTCCGGATACCAGGTTACTACCATGGAAGAGGCTGCCCCCCAGGGTCAAATCTTTGTCACTACCACCGGTTGCACAGATATCTTGACCGCTAAGCACTTTGAGGCCATGAAGGATGATGCGATCGTCTGCAGTATGTATTTCCCAGATGACCGTTACATAAACATTATGCTGATACCTGATAGACATTGGCCACTTCGACTGCGAAATTGATGTTGCCTGGCTCAAAGCAAACGCCGTCAAGACCGTTTCTATCAAGCCCCAGGTCGATCGTTTCCACATGAAGAGCGGCAGACGTATTATACTGTTGGCTGAAGGTCGTCTCGTCAACTTGGGGTGTGCCACTGGTCACTCTTCCTTTGTCATGAGCTGCTCTTTCACCAATCAGACTCTTGCCCAGATCTTGCTTTACAAGTCTCAGGACACTGCATTCACCTCCAAGTACCCCGAGTTCGGTAAGGCTGCTGGCAAGCTTGAAGTTGGTGTCTACACCCTCCCCAAGATTCTTGACGAGGAGGTCGCTCGCCTCCATCTGTCTCAGTAAGTGCTCCATAGAATTTCCATGGTATATGAAAGCGACTAATAATTTCCATAGCTTGAACGTCAAGCTTGAGACTTTGTCTCCCAAACAGTCCGAATATCTCAGTATCTCAGCTGAGGGGCCATACAAGTCTGACATGTATGAAATGGCCCTCCCTCTTATGAAGAGCTTAACCTGTACTAACCTTCCCCTAGCTACCGCTACTAAACTCTTTAAAAGCAAGTCTTGAGCGTCCAATTCTGATGAAAACTACTTTGTCCTCAACGGCATTTCTTACGGCTTGGGTTCCTCGGATAAAATAAAATCATGAAATTAGTTTTTTCTTTTCATCTCCTGGGTTTCTTCTACTTTCTTAGGGTTTAGGCAAAGGGATGGGGCGTACTTGGTCTTCAACAGTTACCAGTATGGTGAATAAATACCACTAGATTCTCAATGTAAAAGTCGTGTTCCCTATTGTTGTGAATTGCCGAGAATGCGAATGACCACTACTTCAATTCGCCCCGAGTTGGAGTACGGGCGGAAACACCACAGCGGTAGTCCGTTATTTAGGCAACACCCCAATCCTGATGTAAATTGTGACTTTAAATATGGTGATATTACCCACATGCTTGGCGCCACCGAGATCCCATGCCGGTAATTTTAAGCCCGGGGCCCTAAGATGATAGCATCTTTTCTGCCAGTAGCACTGGTATGATAGCTCTCCTGAAGTCCATATTGTTTTATCGTCAAATCACAATTGCACTCGGGAAACTGAACGAGCTTAAAAAGTAAAAAAAAACTCAACTGGAGGGAGTGTCAGTAGCCCCTCAGACACTTCCCAAGAGCCTTTTGACGATATTTGTATTCTTTATCGGAAAGTGAGGTATAGAAGCATCATAATCGCCTATGAATTACCCAAAGCAGGCTCATGTTAGCTTCTATTTCACAGTAACTCGAGCTATCTGGGAAATTCGAGGAGCTTTTTTTTTCCGAGTTCGTTCAGTTTCTGGAAATCGGGATATCAACCGGTCTGGCAATAACAATGAAAAATTGTGCAAACCCCAACTCTGATGGAGGAATATCCAGTGGGGTAACTTTCCCCAAAAAACCGGAACAACTGCAGAGCCCCCGCTTATGAGGGGGGAAAGCCGAGCGAAAGGTTTCTCCTTCAGCCCCAGTTGAGACAAAATAAAAAAGGACTGCGACAGGCTTTACTTGTACCAGGTGAGGCAACCCTAACGTCCCGGGCCCTGGTGACACCGGTACCGGTATTCTGGGTTATTCCGGTTCGTATGATATGGTAATGATACAATACCGGTAGTCTACAAGTATGATGCGGTAGCAGTCATCACATTCTCACAGCCAGCCCGTCCGCCACGCCCTGTGATTTTTGTGCCACCCAAACTATGCCCGCCTGTTATGGTTGGATAGGTTAACGCACCCGAGCAGGGAAGGGAAAAAAACCAGGACTTCATGACCCCCACCCAGTGTGGCGGTGACCTAATTACCCCAAGATGGGTGGCAGAGATCGTGGGAGTGCCACTCGCGGTACCTCTACCCACTGCTGGAGTAGCCGAACGCCTATGATACAGTCTACCCAGGATAGAGCACTCTGACGCAGTACTAGTTACCACACATACCGTACCGGTGGCTTCATCTCCCACCCTACCAGTTCACCGGATTAGCTGTCCTTATTCACCCGCGGTAGCAACGGTTATTGCGCATAACCGGTGGACATCTTGCATCCAAACGCCACAACTTTCTCAGTCTACTTTATCGACTTCCTCTGCTCTACCGGTGACATTCTACAGCTAAATTGCTAGCACGGCGCGTTTTCCTCCAGGCTACATCACCTCCCGAAGCTCCCCACAATCATCCCGACCTCAAAAAAGAAAAAACAAACGAAAAGCAATCACACACGACCCCCCTCCTGTTCCCATCGTCGGCCCAACGGTAACCGCTACGGGACCTCCATGAATGCCTTTACTCAACCCATACCTCCGTTCTTTCTTCCGCTCCACCCTCCCTGCCCAATGCACTCCCGTTCAAGATCACGTATTGAGCTCTCTCTCTTTTGCCCCATCTTCTAGAGCTGCTATTTAGCCGCGATAGTTTCAAAGAGCTGACTATTGCCGGATTTTCCAATTGCGTGTGCACCAGATACTATTGGTTCCCACCACCGATATCTTGACGAATACCCGCGACCGTGAGACAGGATCGCTCTACTCGGATCTTGCTGGATCAGATGAATTCCTAGGAAGTCATGTTCTCCGGGTCCCCAGCGGCGGCTCCACATCCCCCATGGTGGGATCGAGAGAGAATAGGGGGAAAGCTAGGCAATACACAACCTTCAACGGTAGAACGGTAGTTGTGAAGGACTCGTGGGTTTACTCTAATAAGGGTATGTCGGGTTTTCCCTGGGCCTCTTGAGAAGTTACACTGAGCAAATTGCGGGGGCGACGGGGATGCAAGGAGCTCGGGCACTGACAGGCTGATAGGTTTTCGGAGCCTAAATCAGGCTCAGCTACTGAACGATGCACTATTCTATCCTGACACCAGCGAGCCTCAGCAGTGGCTCATCTACTATATATCGAAACCGCTTATTGGCTCCCTAGAGCTTGTCCCAACAGTACCCGCCTCGCTGAGGGATCGAACAAACACCGAGCCTCCCGTCGCAAGAACCGGTGGGTCAAGAAAGAAGGATATCAAATCGTTCAATGAGCTGCTGATGCTTTTTCCAATGATTGCCAGACAAATGCAGCCGGGTTTGGAGAAGTTGTTTCAAGAATTTGAGGTTTCCTTTCAGAAATTCAAGCCATTACCGCTTCCTCCGCCATCCCCGCTGTCAGTGGCGTCGGGTCACTCGTCTCCTAAAAATTCTGTTCACCCATCTGGGAACGGAGATGTTTACACGCAAGCCGCCGACGAAAGTGAGATACGGAGGTCGCTGGAGTCAGCCATCATGTCGGCGGTTGACCTTTTTCAACGAGTAGACCAATCGCAACTGAATCTTCTTGCGACATCAACGGAGCTTACCGGCCCAGCTGTGGATCGATTAATTGAGCGATATGTAGCTGAGCAGTTACATGACTCGATGCTTTTCCCTCGTGTTTGCGCTACAAGAAGCGTTGAAGATGAGGAACTGGAACAGATGATTCTGAATATGGAGAGTGTGGATCTGACCCAAGTCGGGATCCCGCTTCTGGATCACCAAGGAAATAAGAGTCTTGTTAAAAGACTCAACCGGGGAATCAAGTCCTTCGAAAATATAGGGGATTCCAAATCTCCTCAAGCTATGTTGCAACATTTACTTGAAACAGCACATACTCTAACCCGAATGGAAGCCTGCGATATCCAAGACCAAGAAGTCATGTCTTCAAGTAACCCGGAAAAGCCAACTATTGTGACAATGAATGCAGATATGCTTGTTTCCTTGCTCCTTATTGTGGTCATTAGAGCAAAGGTACCAAATCTTCATGCGTGTTTGAGCTATATGAGAAATTTTATGTTTTCCGAAGACGTGGAGCAGGGGGAGACCGGATACGTTTTGAGTACCCTGGAAGCAGTGTTATTTCACATAGCACAGGACCATGCCTTAAGTGTGGCCAGTAGGTCTAACGAGAAGTTATGGAGAAGCGTCCGCCAGGGCGATCTAGAATCTGTCAAGAGGCTTTTAGAGCCGGGCATTCGGAGTGCAGAGGCCAACAGAAGTAGGGAAAACAGCGCCTCCCGTTCGGAGGCGTCAAGCGAAAGTGAAGAGGAGAGTGGCAATGAAAGAGGTAGAAGCCCAAACCCGCATCCTACAATAGAGATACATCATCCAGCAACACCACTCCCCAATCAACAGCTTGAGGAGAGTTTGGGGAAGGAAACGAGTGATCGCGTTGCAGAAGTGATTGATGATGCAACGTCGGATATCTCGGAGTCAGTTGAGGATGAGGAATCGCCGCCGCCCTCTATAAGTAAAGATGGCATAGACGATCTCGAGGGAGAGTCACCCGATTCACCATTTGGTGTCCCGATAAAGGCTGAGCCGGAGTCGCTTTCAAATGGTGTCTCACCAACGATTGATGCCCCCGAACCTGTGCACAATATGTCAACCGACGAGGGCGAGGAGCTTACACTACTCAATGGAATTGATCCAAACACACCGTCACTAGATACCCCCGATGAAGAAGCATACACGGATCCGTTTGAGGCGGCCGCAACTGATAATTCGTCTTCCAAGTCAATTGGTGTCTCTAGTGTACGATTGGAAGACCTCCGGGCTGATGGCCAGGAGGACGCGGACTCTCTCAACAATGTCCCATTACCACCCGCACCGAAAGGTGCGTCAAATGCACGAACTGCAACGACTCGGTTTGAATTCGACGAAAGGCCCAGGAATGCCAAAAAGTCTCGGGCTAGAAGTGTGGCTAGCCTGGCTACTACAGCTGATGACACTTCGGTTTCCTCTCCAAGGCGGTTATCAAGAACCCTGACCTCCCAAAGTCAAACTTCTGACTCATTTTCCGCCGAGAATCTATGCAAAACACGCAACGCCCAAGGGGAGTCGATATTAATGATGGCAGTCCAGGAGCGAAGGGCGCATGTTTTGAAGTATTTACTCAGCACTCCATTGTTCGATACAGAATTCTTTGTTGAAGACACCAATAATGAGGGAACTACACTGTTATCTTCTGCTGTTCAAGCCGAGAGCACAGATATCTTGGCCTTGCTCCTGCCACATGTGCTTTCATTGCCAGAGGAAACGCAAAGGAGGTATTTCCAGAAGGCGGACAGTGCTGGTAGGACTATTGCGCATTATTTATTCCAGTAAGTTTCACCCCATTGCGAAAATTGCCTAATACTAATTCTTACAGTGCCCCGGATTTGATAAGCAGGTTAGGTCGCTGGCTGCCTTGGAAATATCAAGACAAAAACGGTCAAACCCCTCTATTCGCCCTCTGCAGATCTTACGATCACGCTCGGTATAAGGAAATGGTTCATGTGGCCATCAAAAATGCCCAAAACGCGCAACAAGACGGTTGCAGACTGCATCTTGACGAGCACGTGGATACCAAAGGGAACACTCTGCTACATATTGCGGGTGACCCCACTGTGTTGCGAACACTGCTGCGATGCGACTCGGAAGTCAATGCGACTAATAACAGAGGGTTTACAGCCTTGATGGTGGCAAGCAAATATGGCAGAGTTGAGATGGTCAGAACCATGTTTGGAGATCCAAGAGTGGACCTCTTCGCAAAAGAACTCAGGGGATTGACAGCGGTGGAGTTGGCCAAAGATGACGATGTCAGAAATCGGATTGATGGTAAGAGATTCCTCGAGCGTACCGCAACGAGCACGCTATTAACCTATCATACAGACTTGGTCCTATTTCAAAATCCTCCCATGCCGCATGGGAGGATCACGGCAGTTGTGAGATCCTTCTTTGTCGAAGATGCCACAATACGAGTTGTTGTCAAGAGTGGCGCTCCTTCGGGGGATTCGACGTTTATGATTACTACATGCCGACGATCACTCACCGACTTTCAATTCTTGGCGGAGTGGCTTGCATATGAGAACCCGGGATCATGGCTGCCGACAATACCGGTACTTCGCAGCCCTTATCAAATACCCTCCAAGCCTTCGAGATCCGTTCTCCGCGATATCCAACTCAGATTAGCCTGTTTTCTCAAGACGCTACTTGCTCATTCGACGTTTTCGATGCACGAGCTGCTATGGGAGTTCTTTCTGGTGCCGGAGTTACAGCAAGATTTAATGATTGAGCGAAGCAAGAAAAAGGCCGAGGCGAGGATGGAGAAGGTACGCGAAGAGTACCAGCCGGTAGAGGATATAAGGGATGTAGAGCTTTTCGTCTCCCATGCAAAGGATTCTGTCCGGAGCATCAATTTTGCGTGCAGAAGTGTGACCCGAAGGGCTAACACCGTACGAACTACGCTCTCCGGTAAGGTTCCCCACCACGTTTAATGGCTAGTCAGCTAAACCCAAACAACCCAGACTTCTCCGACGCTTTCAAAATCTGCGGCAAGCACATTTCCGGTTTCAGCTTTCTTCACGACACCCCGCATCTAGCCTCATTCCACAAATTCTCCGAGATCCTAATCCCCAACGAATCGAACCCATACATCTTATTCCTCGAAGACTTTCGCAACCTCCAATCCTCTCTGAACGGGGTGATGACAGCATTAGACCGCCCCCGCCAGCTGATTAACCAAATGTCCCGTTTACAAAAGCAGGTAGACAAACACGTCAACTCCCTCCGACGATCAGACCGCTGGCCGCTAGGACTGCTGGACGACACGCGTGCAAAGATACACCAGGAGGCAGCGGACAACGTTGCCAAATCCAAGGATCAGTATCTGGCCCTTTCCTCTGAACTGAGGTTTACGCACACCGTGGCTGCCGGGGAACTATCGAGTTTTCATGAACTACATGCGAAGCAGGCGAGGAGAGCTATCAGGGAGCTTGCCCGGAGGCAGCTGGTCACGGAGAGGGAGAGGTTGGAGGGGATGAGGAGGGCTATCAGGGTGATTTCTGCCAAGGGGGGTGGGCCTGTAGCTAGCACTCTTCCTCTTCCTCCTCCACCGAGGACTACGCCGCCACCCGATATGGGTTGAGACGATTGATAGGGAAGAGGGTAATCATAGATTTTCTTACTTTCTTTCTTATTTCATTCCTAATATGCTAGAATATAATGTTGGAATTTGGTCTCTTAATACCATCTGGTCGGCGATATCAATATGTAATTGTGGCTGGGATCGGGGGTTGTCTGTTTTTCCTTTTTTCCTTTTTTCCTCTTTTGTGTACGATATCAGGGTAGGCGTGACCTGGCAGCTTGTGAAAAGGCTGAAAAGAAGGGGGACATGGCAAAAAGAGAAGCAAGCTGCAGTAGAAGAGCAAAGCGAAAGCTCCTCGCACGCAGTTTTATTTTTATTTTACTTGTATCGGGCCGGAGCGCAGTACCGTAAATTTATAATCCTGTCAACCTTTAAGTTACTTGTATGTATCCAACCACACTCCAAGATACCGTAACCCAGCACATCTCGCCCCACACGGCGGAAACCAAACCATGATTGGCCCACCAACCCACGGAAACCAAAAGTACCGCACAGTTGCTATAGCGCCAAAACCTAACGACTGGGATACCTACGATACCCAGCTTTACATAGAATTGCCCCCCCTCTTCCCTTCCCTTCCCTTCCCCCTTTTGTCACACCCATTCCTCCCCCCGTTTCGAAACAGCACTCATCCCCGCCTCCTCCTCCTCCTCCCCCTCCCCCTCCCCCTCCACCCCTTTATCCGCACAGCACCGTGCCTGTACGAGTAGACGTACTTGTGCTGTACAGTACGGTACGAGTACTACGCTCGCAGAAACATTTACGGTAGTATCTTTCGTCAGGTAAAGTAGAGCGCTGTACCGGTACAGGATACGCAAGTACCGTATCATACCATACCGGCAGCACAGCAAGTTTATCCATCGCACAGTCCTATACGTAAATTATATATGATATTATACCACCAGTACAGTACAGTACAGTGCTATCCTACGCTATCTATCTCGGCCCACAATTATAATCACATCACAACCAAATAATATCTCATCAGTGATGATACTCCACTACCGTACTCGTACTGCACAGTTTCAATACCCGTTACGGTAAAAGTAATCATATCATACTTTACTCGCACTGGATTACGGTAGGGTCGTCGGGTTGCAGTCCTGTGGACCGTACCGTATGATACAAGTGCTTGTATACATCATACCGAAGTGTAACACCAATCACACCACAGACGAATGCGCTATAATAATAACTGATCTTTATGCAATCCAAAACGCGCGAATAAAGTACGGTACGGTACGCACGTAACACAATTTATTTATTTATTCCTCCTTCACAAAAAAAAACGAATGATTCTCCACCCTTTTTTTTTCATTTTTTTTTTTCAGAACATAACTTAGGGTAGGGTAGTTGGAGAGGGGGCGGGGGGGATGTGAAAGGAAAGTATCATAAGCTTTTCGCATAAACCACTAGCGCCTACGGATCTAACCGAAGTGGAAAAGCGATTCTTCGATTGGTGGCGACACTCGCGAGTGAGCAACCAAGGGCAGGGTAGTGTACTGTAGTGTAGGCAGACAAGGGTTTCCTGTGGGAGTTTTTCTCTGTTTGGTGTTATTTGTTCGTGCATACTCCTGTCTTTCTTTCTTTTTGTCTTTCTTTTCTTTCCGACTATGATACCTCACTTGCATTGGGGGGAGGGATCTGTCCGATTATATTTAAATCCTGGGGTTTTCTTTTTTTGGTCTTTCGTACCGTACGATACCGTTCTGCAGGTACAGTACATGCAAATGTGGGTCTGGGTTTGACTTATCTTGCCAAGGAAGAGGTGCGGTGGTGGTGGTTGGTAATTTAATGACAATTGAGGGGGGGAAAAAACGGTCCGATGGATTGTGGTTGTTTGGAAAAAAAGAATACTTCCGCTGTCCGGAGGGGCTTGTTCGGTATGAGGGTGAGGGGGGAAAAAATGAGTAATTTTCTCCACACTTTGGTTGTCGTTCTCGATTTCGGTGGTGGTCAATCGTTGGTGGGTCATCCCTACCGGTATTTTGTTTTATTGCTGTAGTGACAATCGCTTACGGTACAGTACAGCGTACTGGCGCCTGGCGCCTAGTAACTCGTGGACCCTCCCCCTCACTATCGTGAGAAGATCCCGAGTTGTTGTCCTTTTTTCTTTGAAAAGGGAAAAAAAGAAGGAAGGAAAAAACGATATTGTACAGTAAGTGCCGGACAGAGCGACAGAGCCATAATGTGAATGGCTCTGAGGAAAGAAGTAAAAAAATAAAAATAAAATAAAATGAAAGAGTACCATGGTCGGAAATAATAATAATAATAATATAAACATAAAAATTTAAAAGTTAGCTGTAGTGAGAAACGTGAGAATAGTATGAGATAGCCCCCCTTTTGCATGCAGGTCCGAAAGAAGAAAGAGAGAGAATGGAGAAAAAAGAAAGGGTTTGAAGAAGGAATAAAAATTTGAAAAACTCCGGTTTTAGTGTTTTATTTATGATATGCCTCCCTGACTTGTTTGTTTTCAACCAAACAGGTCATCATCCAATCAATAAGCAAGGATAGTGGGTGAAGGGAATTAAAGGAAATGATCCACCCCCCTTCCTCCCTATGCGTGTCCCGCGAATAAGCAGAGCAAAAGACAGAATCCGAACTGCAAGTCATAGACCCATGACAAAACCCATGCACCCATCTATAAAAAGTCCCAATGCAAAAACTACAAGGCTCCACCAATAGCCACTCCCCCAGCGCGTCCATAGGGTCCGGGGGCAGGCCACGGCGAGGGCGGTTCATACGGAGGAATCGGCGGTGTTGGAGAATTCGTAGGTGAATAGGGCGAGAAAGAAGGTGCAGGCCGAGGCCTAAACGGCGAAGCAGGCGGGGGAATGCCTCCGGCCTCTCTCTCCCACCCTCCATTTCCCCTGACAAGGACCCTTCCGGGAACGCTAACCCCCTGTGCTCCCCTCGCCCCCAAACTGCTGCTCCTGGGCGAGTACCCTTCCACCGGCACCACTACTGCGCTAACGCGTACTTGCAAATCGTCCTTCCGAGCACCCGATTTCTCCACTGCCGGTGGAGAAGCAGAACCAGTGGACCCCCTCTCCCGTAGCCGGATTGATTCATATGGTGTCCTGTCCGGGGCCTCGTAGGCGGCGAGAATTTCTCGACCCTGCTTCCGCTTCCGGTGGCAGCAAACGCAGAGGAGGACTATCAACAGTAGAAACGAAGAGCCTCCCGCCGCGAGAGCGATTATGGTTGGGGTTGTGAAGAAGTCGGATATTGAGCGGGTTTGCAGGTCTCGGCGGAGGAGGTCGAGGGGGGTCTAGAGTTTGTTAGCGAAGGCTCGGAGCCCGAACCGGAACGGAAGGGGGTAATGCCGGCGGTACCCCTGCACCTGGATCCGTCCGTTGTGTGGGATGGGCAGTCGTCTGCGGCGTGAGGAGGAGCAGGAAGAGGTTCAGGACAGAAGGCAGGGACGAATGCACCGATGGCATTTTTCGGATGCTCGCGTGTTTCCGGTGTAAAAGCTGCGAAGCACCGATATATCCAAACACCCAGTACCCGTACAAACGATAGTGCGTGCAGCGTGGCTTGGTGGTCAAGGAACGAACGGATATTGGACGAAAAGAGTGAATCCGACAATCCAATTCGGCGAGCACGTAACTCCCCGAAAGAATGAATGAATGAATGAATGAACGACGAGAATTCAATAATCGTCAGAAAGGCCCTACCGTGGTTCACCGCTAAAAGACCAAAAAGTGGAAGAAGGGGAAAGCACGCGGGGGAGGATCGCTCCTCCAGGTATTTAAACCAGCCCAACTTCTCGCCCTGCCAGGGCGTCCGCGGCGATGGGATGGGGAACGGGAAAAAGTCATAGCCACGGACCCAAACCGTTTTCAACGCCTTCCCCCCAATCACAGGCGGATTTGGTTCCAAAAGTCCCGTACTGGCACCGGGTTTGTGTGAGTGTGAAGGTTACTCGAGCACTGTATGACTCTCCTCCTCCTGCTCGCTGCTCACTGCCCCCCCCCGCCTCCCGGTTACAATTCAATATTTGTGCTCCCTACCTTATGTGCTTTTCCCAATCAGGATTAGTTGGTGAGCATTTTTCCGAACCTTTATTTCTCCTTTTCCTTCCAGACGGATGCATCCCTGTCAAGGCAGAGAGGGGAAAGAGGAGGTGAGGAAGGTCGGAAACCTTGAATGGACGGGACCTTTTGTTTTCTCTCTTCTTCTCCTCGTTCGCTTCTACTTTGGTGTACTGTATCAGTACTCGTACAGTGCAGTATGATACCGGTTCGGTAGGGTACTTGTACAGTACCGGTATTATACACCAAGGTTCTTATTATTACTACTTTTGTAGCAGGAGTCCTATTTGTGGTTTCTGCGAGCTTGTGCCGGCGGTTGGTACGAGTACCTGATGGTGCTTGCAGCCTCGGAGGTCCCGGAAGTTGGTTCTTGCCATGTACGGATTGAGGGTATCCCTACCGTACTCGGTGGTGCTCTGTCGCCCGGTACGGCAAGGTGAGTACGGTAACAATAGGATACATACCAGGTAGTGGACGAGGGGGGGGGGAGTTGGTTAGGACCTGCACGGCACTCGAGCAAAGCGGACTCGTGAGGGGTATCCCTGGACGTCGCTTTCATGCTGGATGGGAATGCGCGATGGTAGACTACCCTACTGTACGACGTGCCCAACACCACCCGCGGTCCATTGGAGCAGCGGAGCTCGTATTCTGGGCGTTTTGCCTGTGTGGGTCAGGGGAAGGCTGCGAGTTTGACACAACCACAATGCGATTGAGCGGAAAATATCATAGTGCGCTATAGGTACCGGTACTGTACTCGAGTACCATGCATCGAGAACACCATCCAATGCGTTTCGTTCGGTTCCACAGCCGTACCGCTACGCTTCTATTTATTATATTTATTTGCTTCCTCCTATTTACCGCGAGCTCCCCACCAAGCAATCTCGTTAGCGAACATTTAATGAGAGAAAATTTCAATCCCCAATGCCGCGGACCCGCCCCCAGCTGGCCACAGCGAGACAGATCCAGTGAATGCCACAGGCCAAAAATAACCCCCATCACGCCAAAAGAGCCGATTGGCAATCACGGAGGCCGCTCTCTGGTTCGTCAGAGCGACAGAGCTATTATACTATACTTGTGCTAGGTATTGCCTGATAGAGTGTTTGGCCCGCGTGACACAGCTTCTGTTCCATTTGTGGTTTCCCCTTTGCTGGCCCCGTAAAAGAAAAAAGAAAAGGAAAAGAGAAAGAGCATCGAGTGTGTTCGAGCCGTCGGATGACATCCCCTCATCTCAAGTACTCGAGTAAGCAGACCGCGATTTGTGGCCCCGTCTAGCGGCTCCAGTCTTCAGAAAATTTGAAGTGGGCGGTAACTGGTCAACTGTGACACCGGGGATCGGGGGTGGGTGGATGGGTGGGCGTGTGGGATCCGATGGTGTGGTCCAGACTTTCTGTTCCCCTTTACCCCCCCCTCTCAAGCGAGAAGACAGGTCCGGGGGGTGGTCACAGAAGCTCACTCGCGGGGGTATGGCCAGCTCTGGTCCTGGAGTGTCTGTGCCGATGATGGAATCCCTTCTCGTCCTGGCGAAACGAAAGGTTGGAAGTTGGGAATGGGATAGGGTGATTTTGGATCACGCGAACGTGGACGGTAGTTTTGCAGCTACCGTACTCGTACAGTACTAGTACAGTACTAGTACATGCAGCACCTTGCGGCGGTGAAGCATGATGGCAGGGTGTGCTGGGAGAAAGTGCCCTTTTTTAACTTTACTTTGATGACTCCTGACAGCGTCTTATCGTATCGTCTCCTGCTGTTGGGATCGTGACACTGCCCCAAATTGTACTCGTAGCCTGTCTGAGAAGCCGAATTTGCTGACAAATCTACCCAATAATCCACCAGCAACCATCCGGAAAAGGACACCAGCGAAGGGATCCGCTCCCAACGTTACACCGTAATCTCGCTCTCCCTTGTTCTGATTCTCCCCCCGGAGACAGGAAGGTGCTTGCAAGAAGTGGTGACTGGAGTGGGTGGTGATGTGATACAGTACGGGCTTCCTTAGGGTAGGGTAAGGGCTAGCAGCTAGCCATCGGCACTTGACAGTGCGAGCCAACAGCCCGTTGCCGCCCAACCGCCAACACAAGCAAAGCACCAGCCACGAATGGCTTGCCAGAGTGCCACACCACAGCCCTCCCGACACCCTTTCCCCCTTCAAACCACGACAACCACCCCACACTTTGTCCACGACAATCCGCGCTCGGAACATGGCAACCATACCCATCGCGGGAGCCCCAAATGGTGCGGAACTGCCTGCACGCGCGGTGGGGTCGGACGAAGAGGAGGCCTTCCCAATCCCAATTGCTAGCGTAGAAGAGGAATTTTACGAGGAGGATGACGAGGATGGGGAGGAGGAGGATAACGAGGGCCAGGAGTCGGGAGCCGACGAGGGGGCGGATTGGGACGTTAGCTCTGTTTTCGACGAGTGGCTTGCACAGTCCACGGAGCCGGTAGTGTTCGGACCTGGTAAGTTTGCCGTGTGCCCGCTTGGGGGTTGTGTGCGGATCGGATTCACTGACGGGACGTTGTTCCGGTGGGGTTGTCCGCACGGCAGAGGAAGATGCCGTGACTGCGGAGGAGGGACGCAACCTCCGCGATTTGCTCAGAAGCGTTGGGGAGGCGAGATTTATCGAGGAGACACTCCATGCGGGAGCTTTTACCGCCAAAAAACTGCTGACTGCCTTTGGTGTCCGCCCGGTTCGTGCTTCGCCTGTCTTCCCCAGCCGCCTCCTGGGGGGATGTGATTGACCTTTTTTTCCTCTGACGTTTCACACAGCCTTTCTTCCTCGATGGCTCCCCGGACATGGCATACCTTCCTCTTCTCGGCATGGCAATCACTAGAGACCTTCGGGCGAGGCAAAAGTTGACACAGTACAACACGTTGGACGACGTCGTCAAGCTCTTGAAGGGGTCGAGCAATATTATCGTACTTACGGGTGCTGGGGTAAGACCTCCCCAAGTGAGCCTCTCCAACGGAGAATGCCGCAGTGGCTGACAGCGTGAAAGATTTCCACAAGTTTAGGAATCCCAGACTTTAGATCTAAAGGAAGTGGTCTCTATTCCCGCTTGGAAGGATTAGGGCTTTCAGACCCTCAAGAGGTTTTCGATCTAGATGTTTTCCGTGAAGACCCCACGTTTGCTCCCCTCGCTCCCTTCCCTCCCCCCTCACTTGCGTTAAACTAACAATTATTTGGTGGAAAAAAAAAAAAGTATCTTTTATAGCATTGCAGGGCGCATTCTCCCAACTGTGGACCGAATATCCCCAACGCATGCATTCATAGAACTCCTCCAGCGTAAAAACAAGCTCCTCACGCAATACACGCAGAACATCGACAATCTTGAAATCAAAGCTGGTATCAATCCGGAGAAGCTCATCCAATGCCATGGCTCCTTCGCCTCCGCCAGTTGCGTGCAATGCGGGCACAAAGTTCCCGGTGAGACAATATTCCCGGATATGATCAAGGGGATAGTGCCCAAGTGCGGAACCTGCTTAAAACACGATGCCAACAACTGCAACAACAACAAAGTAGGCAAGAAGCGCAAGAGAGGAAGGGGAAGTGGTGAGGGGGCTCCGGGAGACTACAGACGTAAAAGGTACGATGAAAGTAGCGATGACGAGTGCGGGGACGATATTCCGCAAGCTGGCGTTATGAAGGTATACGATTCCCCCCCCCCCTCCTCTTCTTTGGCGACCACCAGAAAAACTAATTCCTAGTATACAGCCAGATATAATCTTCTTCGGTGAACAACTCCCAGCAACCTTCAATAAGCGCCTAGTGGACCACGACCGGGCGCTCTGCGACCTCTTCATCTGCATCGGTACAAGCCTCAAAGTAGCGCCCGTGTCCGAAATAATCGGAATCCTACCACCGCATGTTCCTCAGATTTACATTTCAAAAACAGTACCCTCCCCCCCCCTTTTTTTTTCTCTCTCCTTCCGGAACTCACATGTGTAATAGCCCGTCACGCACGTAAGCTTTGACGTTGAGTTGATCGGCTCCTGCGACGATGTAGTCGCAGAACTCAGCCGGAGGGCGGAGTGGGAGTTGAAGCATGATATGATTCCGGAGGGTCAAGAGAAGGTCAAGATTCGACTGGAGGAGGGGAGTGCCTCTAGGTGGATTTTCGGGGAGGGTGAAAAGGGGGAGGGGGAGGGGGAATAGATTGTTTCGCGACTTATGGATGCCTTAACTTGCTTACTTTCTTCTCTACCAACCTTTGGTCCCGTCTATCTTCTTATTATCCCTTTAAGAGGCGTTTGGTGTTCGGACCCTTTCTTCTCCCTCTTCTCTCTAATAGTAAATTTAGAGGCATATCACTTAGGTTGGCTTTCTTGCTCACTTTCTTGTTTGCTATCGTCTTACTCTTTCCTCCCAAGATTCCTTACATATTCTACATTCGCTCGCTCTCTCTCTCTCTCTCTCTTACTCTCATCTCGCGGTCGGGGGCGAGCGTTGCGTGGCAATACGACATGATTCCGATCCTGTCATTACAGTACATAGATGAATCGAAGACACCTCCCCATTCCTCCTCGCTCCTTTTCCTTATTTATCCACCGTAGCTCTAGGATTCTTCTCCACCCCTCTCACTTTCCTATACACCCGCGCATACCCATCCAAGAACCCAGCAACAACCTCCCATCTGCTCTCGAACCTCTGCAGGATACCCGGCAGTCGAGGGATATACCGCCCCGTAGCACTAAACGATACAACACATGTGCTCGGCTTCTGCAAGTAGAAGAGGGATACTTGGTCTGCCCCCGCCCCCCAAGTCAACCACAACTCTCCAACGTTAGGGTATGAACTGGGAGAGTGGAAGGATACCAGGTGCAAAAACATTAGACAGCCCCGCCACAACCTCGTCCTTATCAACCGTGAAGCCTGCCCGGAATTAATAACCCGCGAGAGTTCGGTGGGGAGTGGGCGAACAAACCAGTGAACTGGACCTCCGAGCGAAGCTTTTCGAGCACTTCCTTTACAACGCGAACGTCGGGACTTTGTTCACCGGCGTTGATAGCGGAATTGAGGGCAAGGTAAAGTTTGTGAACGGCAAAGATGCCTGTTGGACTCGCTACCGCATAGAGAAGTAATAGATAAGCGAGTGCGAATCTATGATGGAGGATGCTTACCTGTCCTAGCTGTGGAAAGAATGTCGCGGCGACGGGAGAGGTACTTTTCGAACGCGGGCGTCAAGTCTTCCTCCTGCGGGGAGGGGGGGGAGGAGGAGGAGGAAGGGAAAAGGGACGATAGGAAGGCCACTGATTCAACCGTGGTGCAGCACCCGGGCCCGCACCGGCCTTTGTAGAAGCTTGGTTGATAGACGGGTTGGTACACTGGGGGCCAGGCTTGATGGCCATTTGCATCGGGGGCCACAGCGGCTAGGAGGGTGAGGCTTATGCCGACGTCCACTAGGCCCCCGGAAACATAGCTCCTCCCGGCTGTGTTCAGTGTCACTGTACTCACCTCCCGCGGGATCCTCTCCATCACACTGCCTGGTATGTCGAGTTTAGGTCCTGGCGGGAACGTGAATTCTAGCACCTCGGGAATGAAATTGCACTCAACCCCTTCCTCCATCTCTCTTCTCTCTCCCTGCGTTGCAGGACTAGCTAGAATCTTCGAAAGCTCTATAGCAGCACCGCAGTCCCCCGGTGTATGATCGAATACTAATCCTACTTTACCATCCCTCCTCCCCTCCTCGCCATATCCAAAGGAGACAATGCCAAAGGTTGCGTCCGCATGTCTATTCGGACTGTGCTCACCGTGGCGTACCTCATTCAGTAGTCTTGCCAACCCATCTTCGTCTTCATCGGGCGACCAGGCGAGTGCAGGATCGAGGGCAATACTAAGAGCGGAATTATACAGCTTTCTAAAAGCCGGTAGGTTTTGTGCATGGGCTAGTAGCTGGGAGTGAAGTTGGGACCAGACTGTACGGCCGTAGCGCCAGGATAGGAGGGCTATGTTTGCTCCGCCGTCCTTGGATGGGGGAGCGGGGAGGGCCGTGATGTGGTCGAGCTGTCGCCGGATATCCGATTCCCTGACCGGTTTTCTGTTTTGTATGATGCGGAGGGTGTGTGCTCTTCCGTTCCGCCATACGATTGCGTTTGCATTCCCCTCGCCATGCCCCTCCCCATCACCATCGCCATCGCCATCGCCATTGCCTACTGCCACCCCTGGGAGAGGGGATTTAACATCCTCCCATGGCCCAGCTAGCGTATCGGACACCTCCCCGGGAACCCTGAACCCTCGCCAAAACCTCCTGACCTGCCACCCTACCCCCCCTTTTTCCTCTTCCTCGCCCTCCGCGCCTAACCGGCACCCCCACGCCGCAGCCCTCGACAAAACCCCTCCCAGTCCTCCTTCGCCCTCAACCAGAGTTGCCATACGAATCGTATTGCTCACAACCTCCCTTTGCTCCAAGGTCATTTCCTCGAACCATTCCGCGGACCAATTCTTGCTCTCCGCCGGGATCGCGGCGGCGGTAGTGGTTATGATGGAGCTCAAGTGTGAGGATGACAGGGCCTTGGTGAATTGCTCGTGGAGCGAGGGTGGGATAAAGGGGGTTGCTTGCGAAGGGAGATAGAGCAGGAGGAGGGGGTGGGGGTAGTTGGTTGATGGGTGGGGGAAAGGAGGACGGAGGTCTGGCATTTTGGACGTTGCAGGTGAAGTAGAGGGGTAGGGAGGGGAAAGCGGTTTCCGTAGAGTGCTGGTCAGGATGTTGCAGTATTATGCTCTGTACGTATAATCACACTCGGCCTGTGCTGTGTCATGCTTTGCGACTTGGCTTGACGTTGTGCTATATAGTACTGTACCTACCGTATTCAGCTCGTACTCCAGCAGAGTACCATCCTGTGCCCGTACCCCACACACACCGTGAAATCCACTTCTGTTGTCGACTCAGCGGCGGAACTAAACCACAAACAGCTTATCTAAGCCAGTCATCGAAACCTCCAACACCAGTCAAAAGAGATCCAGAGAGACACTCAGCCAGCTCAAGTTATGATAAAATAACTACACCACGTCCGGCAAACATTAAATTATCCCTTCTCGGCATGCCGGGTGCTCTGTTCCCCCGATCGCAGAAAGGCCAAGTCCCTGACCGACACCGGATACAAGTAGAGTACATCGTAGATCATCGCAATCGCACAAAGGCTTAATTTAGTTGTGCAATAGTCGTGTTTACAAGCTTTGGAAAACCAGTCATAAGTTTTTGTACTTTTGTCGGTAGGATCTTGACATATACACCGCACAATATTTACTTACAGTACTGTACGACGAAAAAGGAGTCTACTTTTTTTTTTATCGTATTGCTATTACTCGTACCGGTCATCCCACCAGCAAGAACTCGAAATACGGCACCGTTGTACGGCTCTTGGGTGGGTAGGTAGGCGGTGATGCCACTGTACTGTACTAGTATCTTAAAAGCACTGGAGTACTAGTCTGACTAGTACAGGTGCAATAAAGTCCCGTAAAGGAATTCCTATAATACCTATTTGTACGGATTGCTGGAGGGTTTTTTTCGTGGGTGGATTGGTGATGTACTGTACTGTACTAGTACTAGTACTATAATACAAGTATCTTAGTCCAAAATTGTCAGTTGGATATTCAACAGCTTTCGTAAATCTAGTTCGGTATGATACAAAATCAGAGCTCTCATCTGGTTCGTAATAATAATGATAATACCCGGCAACGATTCATGACGTCCCTCATTTATTTAATGCTGGAGTGAATTGTTGTTGGGGGGGGTAGCTGAATTCCAGTGGGGCCTCCTCCATCGTATCATACGGTGTATTCCGATTTGAAATTGTCGGAGAGAAGGTTTTGTTTCTTGTTTTGTAGCGGGGGTGCTTGGTAGACTATATAAAGTGTGAATGGTGGTCCTTTTGCTGGTAGAAAAAATAGTGGGGGGGGGGGGTGTTAGGATTCGCCGGTCGTATGGTATGATACGAGGGACAGGGTTTTCTAACGGTATGATTACGAGTATTCCCTCTTGCAAGCACTCTTCTCCTTCTCGCTCAACTCGTTATGATATCATACCATCCTGTTCTGCAGCTTTGAGATCCTAACACTACCAGACGGTTTTGTTGAATTCACTTGATTCACCTATGATGCTCTGCTAGCTTGCTGTGATATCTTATATACGGTGGCTGGATCACCTGCCCCACCAGTAACAATAGTGCCCTGTGCTTATCGTCATTTTGAATCACTCGGAAAACGCCCCGCACTCATCCCGTGCACACAATGTGGCGAGCTGAACTCTATAGAACCGTGAATAAATTTCCCTGAGGATTACAAAAGATAAAGTCTATAATAAACTCGAGAGCAAAAAGCATACCGTGGAGAAGAAGGAGAAGGGAAAGTTCGGATCGAAGGAACTTTTGAAAGGAAGGAAGGAAGGAGGATGAAATGAATAGAAGGGATAAACAGGAAATGTAAATGCGCCGCCTCATGCCTCAGTGTGCTATCCCCAACGCCGCTTATAAGATATACCAGATGTTATGAATGATGATGATGATGATGATGATAAGATGATAGGTGAAACGGTAAAAAAACAGAAAGAAAGAGCAAAACGAACAAGTAGGCGAGAATAAAAGGACACGCTACGATAAAGCAAGATGCAAGGAAGCAAAATGCGGAACGACATCAACTAGCAGCGATGGCCCTCCGCTCACACCTCCTCCCTTGAGAGCCCCTACCAAAGCACATCTTCCCCATCAAATCCGCCAGCTTCTCCGCCATAATCACGTCCTCCTGACTCTCCCACATAGCGCCCGAGTGCACCCAATCCCACACGGTATTTCCAGAGCTATCCTTGACGTAGGGGTCGGCACCGTACTCGAACAGGATCTTAACGCAGGGTTCGTTATGCTGCTCGATGGCAATGTGCAGGGCCGTGTCGCCAAAGTAATCCAGGGCGTTAACATCCGCGCCACTATCCAACAGCAACCGGACCATCTCCTTCCTGCCGAATCGAGTAGCATGGTGCAAGGGCGTGTCCCCCGACCCGTTCCGCGGATTACGCTTAGCTCCCTTCTCCAGGAAGAGTTTGGCGATGGCGACGAGGTTCGTGCTCGTCTGCTGCACGACGAGGTGCAGCGGTGTGACCTTGTGCTCGTTCTGCACGTCCGGATCCGCCCCCCGGTCCAGGAGGAGGCGGGCTATCGCTTCGGAGGAATTGCGAGTTCCAATGGCGACGAAGTGAAGTACCGTGTAGCCGTGCGTTGCTCGCGCGTGGATGTTGGCGCCCTTGTCCAGGAGGACGCGCAGGACGTCAAGGTGCTCGTACCAGACGGCTTTGTGCAGCGCTGTCTTCTTATCCTCCGAGTGCGCCATGTCTATATCCGCCCCCATGTCCAGGAGTAGGCGGACGAGGGGTTCGTGGCCACGCCAGGCGGCCCATAGGAACGCTGGGATACCGTCCTTGTCCTCGTTTGCTCGTTGGTGTAGGTGCGGCGTTAGGAGGGAGGATAAGCGTCTGTTCGTAAGGATCAGGGCGGAGAGGGACTTGACGTCCGGGAGGCTCTCGGCTATCAGGAGTATGAGCTCGTTCGGGAAGTCGAGTAATGGCATGATCTTGGGCGGGTTGAACGGCTTTTTCTTCATCCCGGATTTTTGGGTTGTGTCGAGAGGGGTTTTGGGATTGTTGTCGTCACACCCGTGGTTATTGTTGCTGGGTCTCGGTTTCGCTTCACGTACGGCAGCTTCTTTCCCCCTACTCCGGGGGTGAAGGTAGGACAGGAAGTGTACTTGGGTACTACAACCGAGAGAAAAGGGTTCAAGGGGGGGAAGTGGGGGGAGGGGGGGTGGGGTGGTGGTGGAGTTTTTTATAATTGATAGCTCTCAACTCTTTTCTTTCCCTTTGCTTTTCCTTCCCCCCTCCTCCACCCCCTTCCCTTCCCCTTCTCCCTTTTCTTTCCTTTTCCCTCCCTGTCTTCTTCCTCCACCCATTGAGTATCGGCAGGCTCTCACCTAACCCTAAGAGCAGCCGCGTGCATAACTGTAATAAGGTGGCTGCTGCGTTCCTTCCCATTTGAGAGCGGCATGACGTTGAGCCAACAAACTTGGGAATGCTTATCGGAAACCGAGAACGGAGCGAACGCCCAGAGTGTCGGGTAGGGTCAGTGTTGACAAAAGAAATAAGAGATAAAGGACAAAAAGATTAAAAAAAATAAAAATAAAAATAAAAATAAATAAATAAAGAACAGGGGTGAACTGGGGGAGAAAAAGGTATGCATTCATTTTCCCATTACAGGAGAGGCAGCGGGAAAAATGAGAATGATGAAATTGCGACCTGGACACCAGACTGGCCAACCCGGAGTTTCAGGAAGGAGGAAGAGGTTAACAACAAAAACACGCGTCATAGATCTTTCGAAGAAAGAAGGTGATTAAAAAATAAGAAAAATAAACACGGTGGATAGGTCCGGGATGTACAGGCACTATGGGAACAATAATATCCGGGCCCCTCTTGAGGGGCAGGGAAGTGAATAAGTATACAGTCATAATGTAAAAGGATAAAAATAAAAACAAAGATAGAGATAAGAACCAGGAGAGATGAATCGATGAAACTCAACGTCCACAACAGTCTACGTGGTTATGTGAATAATGAATTCTTCCCCCCTTCCCCCCGACGAACGTTTCACCAGTGGGGGAAAAACAGCAGCCCACGTACGATAATGAGATTACCCCGCCGAAGGACGAAGGACGCAGTATAATGGTAAGGGAATGGGAGGGGAAAACGTGCAGCTTTGCCGACTCTGTTGAGTGATGTGATATGGGAACTACACCTCATCATTCCCAGAAACGATCGTTCCAAACAGAATGAGTGTTTGAGAGCGAAGGCCTTGATTCGCCTGATTCTCCCATCCCATAGGATGGGCCCCATCTCCCCCCCTCCCCCTTCTCCCTCTCGTGCTGCGAATACCCGGGTATCATGGATATTGTGTTCCGGGTTGGGAGGGTGAGCCCGAGTTCGTCAAAGCCTTATGTGTACAGACCGGTATGTGATGGTGGCAAGATTAAGGTTTGAGGGAAAAGAAAAGAAGGAAAGCCTTGATGAAGGAGGACGCGACGGACGATGGTTTCGTTTCACCTGATCACGTGTATGTCGTAATGATTTTCCAGTGTTGTCGCCAAGAGTGTGGTCCGACATTCCTCGGGAGGATCGGGCCGGTATCGATAGGACCTGTGAGAGGGAGAGCCACCATCCTCACGACGTATCAGTGGTACCGGTGACTCGAGGGGGAAGAGGAAGGAGGGAAGGGGAAAAATAAAATAAAAGAGAGGAGTCAACTATAATAAGTAAGCGCAATCAAAAACCCAGCTTTTTAGTATCATACCGCATAATTCCTCAGCCTCCCAGGAAAGCTACAGAACACCCCCCCCCCCACCACACACACTCCCTCCAGCGAGTCCATCATCCATCCACCCAGAAACCACCAAGAGGGACGGGACACTGCAGGGACTTATATACCGCACCAGGACCCTCTCCCCCCACATGGCAATAAACCCCGCAGCACTCGTCACAACTTATATTTACACCGATCCACCACCCCACGCTCTGTCTGTCTATCTATCCGCTCATCTATTCTGCGGGTAAAGGGGCCAACCTGAACGCCGAATAGGGTCCATTCCCAACACCAGCGAAAGTGCGATTGCAAACATTGTGGTATGTGTATTTATATATAATGTTATATATATAAGGGGTCTGTTCAGTTAGTACCACCGGACTCCAGAACAACCAGCACAGCAAGGCGACAGAGGGAGGCGGGCCACGCTGTCCATCCATGCCCTGCTTTTCGCTACTGTGGTGAGTCATTTATCGCCCGATGGAGGGTTTTTTGTTATATCGAGAAGGAGTCCATGATAAGCGATAACGTATCGTCTTCGCTTTTATTGCCTTGTTAGAAATAGAGGCGGAGGATGTTTGATGGGATTTGTGCCCAACTGTGCAAGTACCGGTAGTGAAAGAAAGATGGTGGGATGACCCAGGTGTATTAAAACTGAAAAGGCTTATCTAGGCAAGTCCTCGCTTCCTTATCTGAGCCCCCTTTTGGGAAAAAAAAAAGTGGACCCTATGGGTAGCCCCGACATTTTGTACGGGCACTTTCTGTCGAAATTATAAACCAAACCTCCTAACGACGTTGAGGACAGCCACCCAAACATCGCAAGGGTTAATCGCACGAGTGATCATTCATGACGAATGTTCGCCAAAGAGAGCAGAATGTGTGCAGATGGCGTAGCCAACTCTGTCAGCCAGCCATTTTTCATTCATCGGCCGCCTTACCTTCTCCAACCAAGCCCAGCACCGCAGCGAGCGCACCCACCATGGGTAGTACTATTAAACAACAAAAAAAACTCCTTGCGACTACCCCGGAAAATCCCACCCTGGGAATTCACCTATGCAGAAGAATTAAGCAAAAACAAGCGAAAAAGGTATCAAAGGAAAAGAGGCAGGGGAAAGAAAACTAAGAAAAAAGTGAGTGTTCAACTTTTGTTATTCTACCAGGCCAGCCAACCAAACAAACTGCAGATAATAAACACGCAAGCAAAATAAAGACAACTACCGGAATTAATCAAAAGGTTTCGTCATCCTCGTCACCGTATACCTCCACTCCTTGTAATACTCGGAGCGCGCACTCGAGTCGGCGTCTGTATTCCTCCCGCATGTCTTCGCGACGCTCCATTTCCATTTTGCAGCAGAAGCTTCCGAGGCCTTCTATCATTCGTTCTATCAGGTCCCTATCTCCCTCATCGAGCTTCAGTTCGACCTCACTAACGTTGTCCGCGTTGGTGACCAGCACCGAATCGATTGATTCTGAAGCGCCGATCGCGATGGAGGACTTGCGTTTCTGGGATTTTGGTGTTTCTGGGGCTGGAAGATATATCGAAGAATTACTGAGTGAGTTTGTTATCGCCGAGGCCTTTTCTTTCGAGAAGGCTGCGTTGGCAGAATATGGGGAACGGGGTGTATGTGGCGCGCTGTGATAGCCATCGTCGCGGGGTGAGGACGCTGCTGGGGTTAACCATTCTGAAGCGATGACAGGTGGACTTGGTTCGGTCGGATGTCTCGGCGCCGGGGGTGGGACTTCGGCTGCTGTTTCGAAAGATTCGATCGAACCGTGGCTATCGCTCCTCTTCATTGTCGAGGGGGGCGCCGGGGAAGGCTTGAGGGGTTCCATCACGGCTGTTGAGGTTGAGTTTGTCCCATCGCTACTGTACGACATGGGTCTTGTTATGGTGCCGTTGCTCCCGGCATATACCCCGTTCCCATAGAACAAGGCATCATATGAAAATGCGTCTTCCCTGTCCTCATGTCGCTCTTCAAATGGTGAGGCTGAGTTGCGAAAGGGTCTTGGACGGGGAGTCCCACTTCTGCTAGAATAGTCATCCGGTATGTCGTCTTCGTGATCAATTGTCCGCCAATTCTCATTCCCCCTATGTGTCCTCCCCTGCTTAATATCATCTAGAGTTGGAGTGACGCTATCATGTGACTCATAGGGATTTGGCGTGGACCCAAGACTACTGATGCTCTGTCGCCTCATCGAGTCCGAGCGAGTTTGTTGTTGTAGTGAGGTAATTTTCCCTCTCAGGTCCTTCATCTGATCTCTCAGCACCCTCATCTGCTGGGTGCTCTTCGACCTCGACATTTCCGACTGCGGCCTCTCAATCTCGGATGGGTGTTCATCCACATCCTCGATTGTCCGCAGTCCATCACCGTTCCTACCATTGCCCTTCCCATTCGCGGGGTTGCGCGAAGAATACGACCTAGGGACTGCACTTTCACTAGCGGTCCTACCATGCGATGAGCTACTATTATTAAACTTGGACCTCTGTGAATGCGAGCTCGGCAGCCGTCCCGGCAGCACGGCGACCGACTCTAGTTGCTCCGTAAAGCTAGTGGGTGTAGTGGATGGGGAAAGGATGAGTGACGATCTCGCACGGGAGATATTCTGTCCGCACAAATCCAGCTTCTTCTTCGCATTGGCCAAAATCCTCTCGGCTTTCCACGATAAGTCGGATCTATCCTCCCCCTCGTAGACACTCCCTTCGTACATGCTCTCCCCGTAAATACTCGTATCATCACCGAGTTCCGAGGTGTTGTCGAAGCCGAAGCCTTCAATCTCTATCGTGCCGTCCGAGAGGAACGAGGCAACGGAAACCGAGCGTACCGACGGTGGAGGTCGTAAGTGATTCGGGGAAGGTGAACGTGGAGGTGCGGGTGAATGCTCTGAAATATCGGGTAGAAGAGAGGACGCCCTCATGAATGATAGCGAACGTCGGGGAGGTGCGAAGCGGGAAGGGTTTGTTGCTACTCCCGCACCAGGGGAGTAGGGTGTGTTTGTGTGCATATTTGAAAAGGAAAAAAAGGGACGGAGGAGAAAGGAGTAAAGAACGTATGGCGGGAGTCGTAGGAAAAGAATGTGGACGCAAAGAGAGAAAAAAAAAGGACGGGGAGTGGCAAAAGGGAAGAGATGGAATGGAGAAGGGGGAATGTGTGGGTAGGGGGGGTGGGGGGAAGATGGGGGAAGGGTCAAGAGAAGAAAGGCGCGAGTGGTTCAAGGTGTGTGTGGTCGAGATGTTGGCAGGGAAGGTTGGAGAATCAC